CAACTATTGTCAACAACTACCGAAATTCCTATGAACATAAATAAAAAAAATAAAAGAACGTTAAAAAAATAAAAAGTTTAACGATGAACCAACTGATACATGTAGAAAGCAATATAACGTAAACAAAATAAATAAATAAATAAATAAGAACATATCGATACAATAAATCACATACGCGAAATTACAATGAATCTGAATCCGGATGTTGGAATAACACATGTAAAACGGAAAGTCCTATTAAAAATAAGAGAACATAATTGAAACATTAAAAAGTAGGAGTATTAAATAAAAACATATTGATCCATGCATGTACAAATGTAACAAATCAATAGAACGTAAACAAAACAATAAACAAAAACATATCGATAAAATAAATCACATACCCGAAATCATTATGAATCCTGAGTGACGGTGTTGGAGCAACACGAACGAAACAAAAGATGTCCTGCAAAAGGTAAAAAAAAACATATATATTGCATCAGAACAATTAAGTTGAAACACGTTGATACAAGAAATCACATACAAGCAATTATAATAAATTGCCGAAAAGATATGAGAGACATGATACACAAGCAAACAAAAATTAGGTAAAACATGATAATAAGAAAGAAAAATAGAAAACCTAAAAAATCAAAGATGCAGTATTAGAGAAAGATAGCCTATACCCATATATACATATATATACACAACCAAATATTAGGGCTACACAAATCTTTAAATAAAACCCAATAATATAAGATATAATTATGGGCTATTAGCATCAAAGTCAACGAAAGCCCAATTAAATATCTGAATCTAAATCACAATAACTACGGAATATCAATATATTTAATTTACAAAAAAAGATATAGATAATTATGGAAGATTATATATAGAAATAGATAATTATAGAATATTTCCGCACATAATATATATATAGTTATGAAGGATTTTCATCCATAAATTCAACTATATCTAAATATGGAAGATTTCCATAATTTTTTTTTTCAATAAACCGAACACAATAAAACGACATTTTTTTGTTTATTTTTTTGCCTCTCCAAATCGCTCTCATCGCGACACATAAGCAAAGTGACTTCTCTTTTATAAATATAGATTATTTAATACCTTAGATACTATGTAAGAGACTCCCATGGAGGTGTTCTAAGGTGAGTAGTTATGTTATCATTTCTCACTATGCGTAGTAATTTATCTCCTTAACCGTTATATGCTGAGTTAGGAATGGGTTGTTTAACCGTTACAGAGTCTCATCATCTCAGTCTCATCACCTTTCACATAGTCTCATGTCCAATGCTTTACAAGACTTGCTCTTACTAGAGACTTCAGTGTAAGAGACATGTTCCTCTCTATTATTATAACCTCTATCTTCTTCCATAGACTTAAAACACATCCTCTCTTCACCATCAATGTTGCTTGGCCCTGAACTCGAAGCATAACCAAAAGGATGCGCTCTCATTTGAACAGACCTGAGTAGTGCGGTTCTCCTCAAGTCACCCGAATGGCAGATATCGCTAGGCGATGATGGAAACCTTCCTTCGGTGTCTGATCCTCTTTGGCGAGACACTGGACTAGTAGTACTCGTTGTTGCATTGGTGATCATGGAGGTAGGACATGTATGTGAATGGTGTGAGATTGTTGATGAAGATGACGATGACAGGTGTGGTGAGTTTGTTGAAGTAAGAGGTCTTTGGTATCGGTAAGGTGAAACCGGACTATCGGGTTGCGATGAGCTAGTGCTTGTTGTTGTTGGGTCCTCGCAGAATCTTGCTTCATCTGAATCTTCTGACATTGGAGAGTATTGTAATGGTAAGTCATCCCTGTGTTACACAAACACATAAAATGAATCTTATCAGAATTAAAACTTCACAAACTCCAGATTCACTTATGTGCTAAATAGACCACCAGAGCCTGCTTGAATCATCTGGTTTTCAAAAATTCGCTAACTACGCCAATATTGAGAAACAAAACAATCTTAAGTCTCAAGAGTCTAATATGAGAAATTTCCAAAATCAGGTTCCCTTGTTCTTAAGCATTTAGAAACCACCTACATAAAAGACCATTTGAGTACCGACTACAAATCACATGTAATTCAAAGATACACAAAAAGATGAATCAAATATGTAGTTGATTCTGTGTGCATAGTTCATCAATTTTGAAAGATAAAAGTGAAACCTGTGATAAAGAAAGGTCTCAGAACGAGCTGGAGACTCTAACATGTTGACCGGAACTGAGTCTCCGACTGTTAGTCCGTTTAAACTGCAAGCCATTATCTACGAAGAAGAAGACGATTGGCAAAATCTCTAAACATTTTAAACACCAAAACACAGTAAACCAAGTTGCTTGAAGCCATTGAAATCGAAACTCAGGATTCATAAATTTCGTAGCAAATGGCGATTCATAAACAACTGAAACCTAGAAGAAGACGATTGGCGAAATTTCAATTATTCAAACACCAAAACACAGTAACCAAGTTGCTTGAAGCAATTGAAATCGAACTCAGGATTAACAAATTTCGCTGCAAATGGCGATTATAGCAAACAAATTGGAAATCT